CACACACACCTCTTTCCTACCCTGGGGAGCTCCATGCATCTGTCTTTGTGGGCGTGTAACGTAAATACAGCAAGACAGAATTTGAAGTGCATGGCTTGAGTTTTGACAAATGTAGACAACCACGTCACTACCATGCAATCAAGGTCTAGAACATTTTCGACACCCCAGAAAGTCCCCTGTGCCCTTTTCTCCTCGGCCCCTGCCCCAGAGGTTCTGCCTTCTGTCCCCGAGGCCAGCAATGGCGGTGCACGGGCAGCAGGATGCCGCAGCGCCATTCGCACTCCTGGGCCAGGTTCTCTCACGGGCCAGGTTTTTAAGCTTCGGGCCTCAGTGGTAAATCACGGACTTCCACATTGTTGCCACAGAGTCGGTGTAACCGAGTCACAAAGCACGTGGAAGGCAGCCACGGAAGGGATCCCTTTCGGGTCCCTCCGCTGAAAACAGCCACAGAAAAGGTTTGGCTGCGTTTGTTTCCTGTGCTTTCCACTTCCTTATTTGCTCGTAGCAGCAAGCAAACCACAAGGGAGTTTGCGTGTTGCTTTTTTCGTATATGGTAAGCTCTTTTTTCCACATGTGGTGTTTTTAATTCCCATTTTTGGTAATTCTCCACCTAAAATGTGCCGCGTGGGCGGGCCGTTGCCTGGCTTGTTCCCTGATGTTTCCCGGTGTGTAGAACCGTGCGGCACTGGGGGCTTCCCATAACAGTCTGGGAGGACCCAACAAGTGTGTCCCACCGAGTTCACCATTTTCCGTATCAGTGGACCGTTAGCAACTCCCAGTGTCTTATCGTTAGAGGTGATGAATATCTTCAGACATATGGTTCCCCCTGCCCCCCCATGTTTTGAATGACACCCCGAGAGCAAATACCGATGATGAATTGTGTGAAAGAAAAAAAATATGTTCTGGCTCTTGACACACAGGCGAGTTCTCCATAGAGCTGAATTACCCAGGGATGAGCTTGGGTCTGCCACTCCCTTGCTGTGTGACTTTGGACAAATCACTTAACCTCTCTGTGCCCTACGTGTCCCATCTGTAAAATGGGTCTAAAGACAACATTTCACAGGCTCATTGTGAGTGTTAAATGTAGCAGGCCCTGCACATGTATTTCCTATTTATGTTATATACGTAAAGCATCATGCTGAGAAAAGTTGCGCCTTCTTTGCCAAATGGAAACAGTTTCTTTTCATAATCACTGTGTTTTTGAGAACTCGGTGGCTCTGTGTGGCCCGCTGGCACTGAGTCTGGGCGTTTTGAAGTAGACAGGAATCTTCATTACGAAATCACTTCAGGTAGATTGTGTGCATTCTTTATCGAACCTTCTAGCAGGGCGCCGTCTCAGAGAGGTGGGGAAGACGGATGAGTAAGTTGTCCACACACCACACAGAGGCGAAACCACGGGTTGTTGCTAATTGTGGAGATGAACAGGGACCACCTGGTGAGAGCAAACCTTCGGTGCTCGTTCAGCGTTTCCTACAGCAAGGGAGTCAGCCCCCCCCCACACTCATGTTTGGCAGAGACGCAAAGGCAGGCAAGGGGGTCGGGGGGGCTTCATAGTGGAGAAAAGGGCTTCAGGTGTGTCCTGGGCGGAGGCTGTTGAGCTGGGGGAGCTGGAGGCTGGCCGGCTAGAGGTGCGACACACCTGTTCCCAGTGCGAGTCCAACACCTACTGCGTGGGTGCTCGGTGAATACTTGTTGAACAGACGAATACATTTGGAGAACTAGGAGAAGTGTTGGCAGAAGGACAGATCCTTGAAAGGACAGCGTTACTTCAGTGTTCCTGAACTATAAAGGCGTCACCCATGCAACTTTGCATGTCAACCAAAAGGGTCAAGTGCATCCTAGGGATCTCATTTATACAGCATTAGAGAACTCGGTAGCTGGTGGGGAGTGGGGGGTTGCAGATGCTTTCATGCCCAGGGATCTGTGATTTCCTGTCTGCTGTCCAGGAAGACAAGTGGTAGGAAAGACCCCCGCCCCTACTCCCCGGCCCTGCACACAATGGCGGGGGGCGGGGGGACAAGGAGGGAAGACAACACGTGTATGAGGAGGAGAGGGGTGTGTCCAGAACCAAGAGTGATGAAGAAACCGCTTCTGAGCACTGAGGACCGAAGGAAAGAATCCTCAAGGATGTGGAGAGGGGCTGCTGTGTGATTTGCAGCTTTTCCTTCCCTCCTCCCCTCCGGCTCCCGCTGTCACCCCATGACATGGGCAGTGCTGGGATCACCCCTGGCTTCCTGAGCTGGGCTCCACCTGCAGACAGATTCCTTCTTTGCCATCTGCTCCTCCCCAGGGTTTCTGCAGCCACGGGCTCAGGCGTGCCCTGCGTGTGCCCTGCTGATTCCTCTTCATCTCTGGTCGGGATTTGAGCCACCAGGGCAGACTCGGCCCCTCTCAGATGGGCAAGCATCACCCCCTTGAACGTGGGTTGGGGCCCTGGATCCCAGCAAGGCCAGGAGAAGAGAAAGGTTGCGCGGAAGCTGGGATGAAACTCCATCGGCGCTGAGATCATCAAGTGGCCCATCTCGCCTCGCCCAGTCTTTTCCCCACTGCACTGGCTTTATCTTCTCTTTGGCCTTCACAAACCAAGGCTCGTCCTGTGGAGTGGCGGGGACAGAGCTTGCAGAGAGCGAGGAGCCTGTAGCTAAGACCCTTACAGTGACGGCAGCCTAACTGGCTCGGTGCCATGCACGTGTCATCTCTCGTTGCGTCCTTGCAGCACCCTGGCCAGCAGGTTGTGTGGGACCCCCATGTGTAGGGGTCACAGCCCTGAGATGTAAAGCAACTTGTCAGGGTCACCTGGGTAGTAAGGCGCAGAGGCCCCTCCTGGAGCCCAAGTCATCTGCTTCTGAAGACACGGCCTGAGCAGCTGGAACAGGCTGTCTGCAGTTCCAGGTTGTTGCCATTGGTGACAACGATGGCAGAGACTGAGTTCCTGTGGTGCACGCCCCATGGTCTGCACCCCCTGCACCAGTTTCTAGAGGACTTGACCCCGAGCTGGAAAGTGGACTGGTCCCAGTTACCAGCTGCCAAAGGGAGAGGGCAGGGTGGTCGCCTGCCAGCTTGCAGCCTCTGACAGCCATGCACTGAGCAGAGGTGACTCTTTCATTACCTTGCAGGGCCACAGATGATGACTGAAGAACTAGAGGGACAAAGAGATTGAATGACCCAGCCAGGGACCCACGGGCTCATGGGTCACTGAGCACAGGCTCTCTCCAGGTCTGCTGTCTCCCAGGGCAGGGGGGTTCCCTTGGTGTTAGAGGTGGCCCCTCACCATGGAGAGAGGAGCGCAGGGTACCCCTGTGAGTCCTGGCTTATGTGGCTGGGGCCCTGAGCTGGCCACTGCCCACTCTGAACCTCATCTGGGAAGCAGGGACAGTTTTGGCTGCAGTGCCCACCTCACGGGTTCAGGCTGTGCCAGAGACTTGGGTGGGTCCAGAAGGCAGTAGGGCATTGGCCGTGGGCGGCTTAGCTGGTTGCTCGCTGTCTTTGCTGGTGGAACTGGGGCCAGGGGTGGCATTTGCTCCTCTCTTCAGCCTCTGGCATACCCAGGAGGCGGCGGGGCAAGGCGCTGTGGCTGAGGCAGAGTTCTGTTCCTTGCAAGGACAAAGCCATTTATAACCCCTATTCCCTCCCTGCTGGAGGCCAGATGATAATGTCCTCAAAGCAAAACGCCAGCATCACTTATTCTAATTTTCAAAGAATTTCCAGGATTGGATAAATCGCCAGCTTTCAAAACGCTGCTTTGGAGGAGCAGGGGTGGTCTCAAATTTTCATGGCAGAAATGTCTATCGATCTGCCCTGGAGCACACCAGACAGTTACATTTCTCCCCGAAACAAGTCCCCGGCCGCAGGAAAGCCGCCTCCGCCTTCACAGTTCTCCATCTCTGAGCCAACAAACCTTGAAGCCGATCCATGCCCTTGACCTGACAGAGCAATTCTGTTCCAGAAGTTTGATTACAGGAAGAAGAAGGGAAAAAAACCCCAGAAGTGAAAGAATCTATATTTCATTAAATTGCTGCTTGTTTCAAAGTGGGAACATTTTCTGGGTGTCTGGGGAGCTGATGTTTTCTGTCCTGTTGGGAGGATCTAGTCTGAAAATACAGAACAGTTTCCATATAAGGGAGAAACCATTGTTTTTCAGAGCTTGGGGCCAAATAGGGATTTTTGTCCTGGGAGCTGACTTGACAAGCATGTAACAAGCACCCGCCAGGAGCCCAGTCATTCCGGTTGTTTAAGGGGCTTCCAAAAGTAATGAAAACATTCTCAAAGGACGGGACCATGCACATCGTTACTGCTGGTGTTTTGCGTTGTTTATTCCATTGACTGTGAGGCCTGTCGGGACCCCGCTGTGTGCCGACCTGGCCCAGGCACCGAGGATGCAGTACAGGGCCGGGCGGATCCCTGTTTGCCAGGTGCTTCTGGTCTAGCTGTTGCGATGAGGACCCGTGGAAAGTGGGGGTGTGGGCGTGTCTGATGGGGGAGCTGCAGAAATGACATTCACAAAGTGCTTATCCATCCGTCGTCTCAAAGGAGGGGGTGGTGAGACTTATCATTCCTTCATCACGTGGGAACACTGTGGGGCTGAAAGGCAGGCAGTTGCTCAGACCCCTTGTGAGGGGTAACGGAGTGTCGGGTGTCAGGGATGGTACCTGGACCCCAGGTGTGTGGCTTCTGGTGCAGAGAGCTCTGTATCTCACAGGGCCGCCCATCCACCGCCCGGGACGATGGGAGCCCCTGACAGGAGTGGCAGTGCCCACCCCGGCAGGGACATCCTCGGGGCCAAGGGGGGCCTGTGACACAGCGTGTGATGACCCAGATGCTAGCAGAAGCACACTGCCACCCAAGCAGACATGAGGGGCCCAGGGGACGAGGACCAGTGCCCTCTGAGCCCTCCTCCTTTCCCTCGCTCCACCTCGGCCGGGGTTCTGCTCCAACCCCCCGCCCCTGAGCCTCACCTCCCGTTGACAACTAACACTCTGCCCCGTCCTCTTGTCTTCCAGCGATCCATGAGTTCCCCACAGACCTGTTCTCCAACAAGGAGCGACAGCACGGAGCCGTCCTGCTGCACGTCCTCGGTGTAAGTGGCCCTTGTGGGGTGGGGTGTCCAAGCCCGTCCTTGGAGCACGGCAGAGCCGCAGCGTGTCAGAGCCTGTGAGGAGGGTGGGTGCTGCACCTGCCTCACCCACAAAGAAACGGGGTCCGAAGGGTGTTAGGCAACCTGCTCAGGGTCACACAGTGGGTGGCCGCAGAGCCCAGACAAGAGTTGGAGTCTTCTGGTGCCTCATTGTGTGCTTTTATAAAACGGGAGTGACAGCGCCTTGCCCGGGTGCGTGGGTCTGAGTGTGGGTCAAGTGCAGCAGCCCTCACGTGGCACGTAGTAAGTGCTCTGTCCGTGCTCGCTGCGGATGCCCCCCGATGTACTACCTTGCTCGACTGTAGTTTAAAACTTGGGCGCACTTCTGAAACTTCCCTCTGTATTCAAACGGGACTTGATGATAAACAGTGGAGTTTGAGGCAGAATTCAAATAGAAACAGTGAGTTCAACCCTGGCCCACTGACCCAGTTAGTTGGAGCATTGTCCCGTGCACCAAAAGGTTGCAAGTTCGATCCCCAGTCAGGGCACATACTTAGGTTGCAGGTTCTATCCCTAGTTTGGGTATGTACAGGAAGCTGCTGATTGATGTTGCACTCTCTAAAACCAATAAACATATCCTCGGGTGAGGATTGAAAAAACAACCACCAGGGAATAGTGAGTTCAGACCTACGTTATAGGTAAAATTTGCTCTTCTCTGACAGGGGTAGGGAAACCACAGCCCATGGACACTGCCTGTGTTCGTAAATAAAGTTTTATCGGGACACAGCCATTCCCATTCATTTGTGTGTTATTGATGGCTGCTTTGGCGTCAGTGACAGAGCTGAGTACTTGTGACTTTACCTGCACCCCCAGTGTTTGTTTCTTTTTGCTTCCCCCCAAAAGATAATGAAATCCAGGAGCAGCCGTACCTCAAATGCCTTGGTCCACAAAGCTAAAGATCAAAGACTCCCTGTCCCTTGGCAAAAATTTGCTGGCCTTATTGTATGACGGTGGCCACTTTGGATCAGACACAGCAAATGTTCCTCTTGATTACGTTCCCGACTACCCAGCACCATCTGCTTATATATTGAAACCCATCCAAATATTAGTCTCTGCAAGAGATAATTAAGAAAGTCAGAGCTGGGATTCTCACAGTGATAATAGCCACCAGTGAATAATGAATGAGTGAAGATTTAATTAACAGAATATGTGGTGTTAATGAAATTGGAGCTTAGAATGAAGATTGTAGGCACATTTTGAATGACAGGCCTGTATATTATCTGGGTAATGGAGTCATTATCTTCCTGGTTTCTCTGGCTTTTTCAGACCTTCTGCCACTCAGAGTGTGGATTTGGTGACTCAGGCCCGCAGTTCTGTCCCTCTGCCTCACGAAATCTTGGCTTTGCTGAGACAATCTCGAACCTCCATGCACCTCGGGAACTTTGCAGGGACCCTTGACAGCAGGGACCACCAGACCACTTCCTGTTTTTATAAGTAAAGTTTTATTGCCGCACATCCATACCCATTCCGTGTCTGCCCTTCAGAGGCTGCAAAGCCTAAAATGCTAAGTACTTGGCCCTTTAAGAAAAGGTTGGCTGATGCCTTCTCTTGGGCAATGGAGGCTCTAGCTTTGGAGTCAGTTCGGTTGTAGGAAGCTTCTCAGAGCCTCTCAGTTCAAGCGATGAGAATAGGGGCACCATCTCGGCCCCTTTTCTCCCCCGCGTTTCAGAAATGTCAGCAGGGACCACCAGAGGTGGTCTGGCCTCACAGGACACCCTTGGCCTGGGAGATAATGCTAGGGGAACTTCTAGGGGTGCGAGTTCAAGTCAGAATCCTGAGATTTGTAGCGGGGTCTCTCCTACCTCACTCTCTTCCCTTTACCTTAACTCCCAGTATTTGTCCCCCCACCCCCACCCCAACACACATGCACAAAGGATAATCAGATCCCGGGGCAGCCTAACCTGGACTCCAGTAGACACCTGCCTTGGTTGCCTTGGCCACAGCTGATGCAACTTTCATTTTATTTCATCGTAGTTAAGTCACTGTGAAGTTGTGGGAATATCACACCGTTCTGGGTGAAGCAGCCCAGACTTTCCCTCTTTGCATGCACGGCATTCACATCATTTTTCCTTTGAAGTAAGAGGTGGCTCCCCCAGTGCATAGCGTGAAACCTCATCTCTTTTCATTGGGCCCTCACCCTCGCCTCTCCCTCCAACCTCACATTTACCATTTCCCCCTTCATTCTCACTGTGTTCTACCTGCGCCAGTGGCCTTGCTGGTCCTCAAATGCTTCAGGTACACTCCTGCCTCAGGACCTTTGCATGTCCCACTTTCTGGCAGTTATAGAGACTTTGTCTATTTGTTTGTCCCCCACTAAGGTAAGTTACACGAGTCAGAGGCTTTTCCTGGTGTCCTCACCAAGCACCCCTGATACCCATGTACAAATGCCTTGTACGTAGATGAGCTCGGTAAAGCTGTGTTGGGCAGACAGGGCAAGCAAGGGGTCTGTAAGTAAAACCATTTGAAACTACTGATCTATTCTTGCCCTGTCATTAACTAAATGAAGAAAGTAAGACCTAGAGACATAACGTATCCAAAGTCCCATGCATGGCAAATGAGTCCCAGGATCAGCGTTAGAAACTACACTCTTTGTTCCGTGAACCTTTCGGTGTCAATCGATGGCTTTTAACCTGTGCCAGCATCCAGCGGCGTCCCAGGGAACGCCGCGTCTCAGGTGGACATTAATTCTGGCGGCACGCGGCCAGTGGTAACAAGGAAATGGAGCTTTGCTGAAAATAAGGGGAAACCAGGATGGTGATGATTTCATCTCTCACGATGGTGCTTTTAAATGCCTTCCTCCAAAGGCTAGGGCTTCCCTTTCAGGGCGCGCTGCAGTGTGGACGCCGAGCAGCTGCTTCGAGCTGACGGAAAGGAGCACGGGACCGCGCGGCCTGAGTTCTAGTCCCCTGTGCTGTTCAGCTAGTGCTTCGCCTCTCTGGGCCTCAGTTTCCCGTTTTGTTCATGAGGGGATGGAGGGAGCAGGTCCCCGTGCTGCTGCGGTTTTCCTCCGTGCCAGCCCGTGTCCCCCACCCCTGTCCCTGCAGGCTGGCTCGGGTGGGATGGCTGCCGGGGCGCATTGGTGGCAGGTGCCCTCGCTGACACTCTCTGTCCCGTGTCCTTCACAGGCTCTCTACATGTTCTATGCTCTGGCCATAGTGTGTGATGACTTCTTTGTTCCCTCTCTCGAGAAGATCTGTGAGGTATGTGGGAGAGGCTGGGGACCCCTGGACAAAGCTTGGGAGGGGGCTGGGGTGATCAAGGACACATGGCACATCGGTGCCAGGCCAAGAAGGACTCTGGCAGTGAAGACTGTCAGGCCAGTCACTCAGGGTCAGCTCATTCTGAAACCCTCAGACTGGTAGGTGGCGTCCTCTCCCGGACTCGGCAGCACATAACTTACCCAGAGCCACTGGCTCCAGGGCAGGCCAGCCGGCCGCTGTGCGCAGTTAAGCCTGAGCAGTTAGGGAGCACTGACCCTAACCGGGTGTGGGGGGCAGGGACCGGGGGCCTCTGTGTCCCTAGGGAGGAGGCTGAGCTGCAACATTCTTTGTCCAACCCTGGCAGGCTGACATTTTTCTCCTAATTATTTTGTTAAGATTTCATTTTCTTTTCTTCTTTTGCCCCATATATAAACCTCGGTCTATCCCCACTCTGCCTTACTCTTGGCTTCTAGGCAAGGAAGAAGAATGCACCTACTGTGTGCAGACTACTCAGGGCTTTGCCACACTTTACCTACATGACATCTCCCAGCTGCCCGAGGCCATACTGTTGTGACATTTATAGCCGGGGTCATGATTGGTAGGGGCAGGCACTTAGTTACTTGACCTGGGTCCCCTGAATAGCGAGTGACCAGCACAGGTGCACAAAGCTTTGTCTAACCTCCCCTTGCCCTACTCAGATGGGGCCACAGGCTCTCCTCCAGGCGGGGGACGGGGACAGGATTCCAAACTGAGGGCCCGGCACAGTGGCCAAGGGAGTGTGCTCAGGGCAGAGGGAGGAGCGGCTGCCGGGGAGCAGCTGGCCTCCCACACTTTCCCCGGCTGCCGCAGTGTCCAGTTAGGGTTCCCACTGCCCCCGCGTCACAGCCTCAGGTTGACGGTCATTTCTGTTTCAGAAACTTCATCTGAGTGAAGACGTGGCCGGAGCCACCTTCATGGCTGCAGGGAGCTCCACGCCTGAGCTGTTCGCTTCGATTATTGGTAAGAAATCCCACCAGCCAGAGACACAGGGTCTGGAGAGAGCCTGGGGTCGGTGCCCTGACAAGTGAGTGTGTGTGTCTGCTCTGAGCCTCAGTTTTCACATCTGTAAAAGGGGGAGTTGGAGAGACAGGAAGTGCATTAGTACTTCCTAATGGGTAGAACCACTGATGGGTGGCAAGGGGGGTGCTAATGGGTACAGGGCTTTTGGGGAGGATACCGAAAGTGTCCCAGAATTACGTGGATCATGGTGATGGTTGCACAAGTCTGTGACTATACTGCAAAACTCTGAACTGATACTTTAAGTGGGTGGATTTTATGACGTATGAATTATATCTTAATAAAGCTGCTCGAAAAAAACCCAGGAAGAATTGGAGTGGCTGGTCTGAGCCTGCTCCCATTCTCACTGTGTTATGGGTGTTCTGTTTGGTGGCGAGACCAACTTCCCTTGGTCTGTGGGAGGTGGGTGGGGGTCCGGGGGACAGCGTCCTCACAGGCCCTATGGCCAGCCTGGGCCTTGCAAACACAGATTTGTGCCTTTCCCTCCCCAGGAGTGTTCATCACCCACGGAGACGTTGGGGTCGGCACCATCGTGGGCTCCGCCGTGTTCAACATCCTGTGTATAATCGGAGTCTGTGGATTATTCGCGGGCCAGGTCTGTGGTTTCTCTCCCCGAATATGGTGACGTGAGGGACAGCGGTGGGGAGGCCTTAGCCATGCCCCTGGCTCCCTGTGTGCCCAGCGGTGCCCGGCGAGCCTCCTGCGGCCTGCAGTCTGGAGGCAGGAAGAGTATCAGGCCCTCCATCCAGCCCGTGGGCAAGCACTCCCTCCACCGCGGTGAAGGGTTAGGCAGCACCTCCTGTAACCCTGACCTTGGCCGGACTCCCGACCTGTCTGGGGCCCGTCCGTGGGCTATTGGCAGGGAGTGTGCAACTGACCTGTCATTGATACCCCATCAGCATCTCCCTGGGGGCTGTCAGACTTGACCTCAGAGCATTGGGCTCATGCAGATGCCCTGCTTGGTTGTGGGAGGCTGAGGAGGGTAGCCTGTTACCACCAAAGGTTCCAGCATCAGGGGGAAGAGCCAGTGCCTCTGGCCTCAGCCTTGACATAGTGCCCAAATTGAGTGACAAGCACAGGGTGGCCTCGGACAGCGAGGAGCACTTGTTTCTGGCCCAGTCAGAAGGAGCTCCATGGGCGTGTCCTTGTAGCCATGGTGCGGGGGGTCTGAGGTGGGGGGCAGCCCCCAGCCCATAGCGGCTGACAGCCCTCTGCTCACAGGTGGTCCGGCTGACATGGTGGGCTGTGTGCCGAGACTCCGTGTACTACACCCTCTCTGTCATCGTGCTCATCGCCGTGAGTGCCCTCCCACCCCTGAAGTCCCAGAGAAACCCCAGCACCCCAGCCCGGGGGCTGCTGACCGCTCTCTGCTGTCGCTCCGTCCAGCCCACTGGCCACTGTGCCTCTGTCCCCCCGAATCTCACACCTGACTCCTGAAGGTGAAAAGCCCTTGCAGGAGCCAAAGCGTGTGCCACGTAGCCCGCGGCGTGACACTGCAGCACACTGCTCACCCTTCAGAGCCTCACTCGGAGCAGAGCCCCGGCTCCCGGCTCACGGCCGAGCAGAAAGCAGACCGGCCTCTGGGAGCTGTCCGAGTTGGCAGCCTGGTGGCGTGGGGAGCAGAGACAAGAGGCAGAGGAGACGAGACCGGGATCCTGGGGGCGTGCTCGTGTGTGCGTGTGCGTGTGTGCGTGTGTGTGAGGGGGGTATCCCTGCGGCCCCTCAAGGGCTGGGGCGACATCATGCCACATGACAGTGAAGCACATGACAGTCAGGCCGCAGCCAAGGAGCGTGCCATCCCCAGGGAAGTGGCTTCCGTCCAGAGGAGCCTTGAAGGGCAGGAGGTCATTGTCGAAGAGGGCAGGTGTTCGCAGTGTGCCCAGGTGTTAGGGTTTGGATTGTGCCCTGGAGTGACAGTCCTCAGTCTTACGAGATCTAGCAACGGCGACATGTGACAGCCGTGTTCCTCATATTAGTTATCTATTGCTATGTACAGAATTCCCCCAGAACTCAGTGGCTTAAGACAACAAGCCTGTCTCCCTCCCGTTTTGTGTGGACTCAGGTGGGGAGTGGCCCAGCTGAGTGCTCTGGCTGGTCAGCCTCCGTCCCAGGTGCCATCCAGGGTGTGGTCACCTGAGGGCTCCCCTGGGCAGAATCCACTTGCAGGACCACGTCGCTCTGGGCAGCCTCAGGCCTGGCCTCCCGGGTGGGGCTGATGCTATGGCCCCCGGTGTCCCTCAGAGTGAGGGAGAGAAGGAGCCTGTTTGTGACCTACTTTCAGAAGTGACAGCCCTTGCTTTTGCCAAATTCTGTGTGTGAGGAGCCAGTCAAGGGTCCAGGCCATGCTCACGAGGGGAGTGTGAATGTCAGGCCGTGGGGCTCCTGGGACCACCCTCACAGACCATCACGCCCCCAAAATGAAGGTTATGGATAAAATAATTTGCCTACACATGATCTCAACAAACCATAATGTCTAAACTCTACTGTAAAGGACAAGCGAAAGTCATAACAAAGAATACAGCTTCTAGGTTTGGGCAGGAAGATGCTAGAACACCTGTTGATACAATGTTGCCCCATGTGGAAAATCCCCGAGCCCTGCACCTGTGAGCTCAGACCTGGGCCCATGTGCTGCCCGGCACCTCGCCCCACCCCCCTGCGTCCTGCCGACCCCGGTGATGTGATTTTCCGGAACAATGAAGGACTCCGGATAAAACCCTAAAAGAGCCCAGGGGAGTTATCCACCCCCACTGCTCATGACAGTCACAGCACTAGAAAATTAAGTATTTACTAAAACCCAAAATGCTTTGATTCATGAAACAGAGTTAAGTTCGAGGCTCAGATTATTTATTTTTGTCATTTACCTGACTCCTTAGCAGGAGGCGCGACACTTGTGCCGAAGGAATACAGGGAAACTTCTCCGATAGAAGTGTTCCATGTGTTCTCGGCTGGCTAGCAGCCCTGGCTTTCACCGCCTCCAAATGCCAGTCGCCCTCCCTGGGGTTGTAAAAACAAAAATAGCTCCATAAATGTCCCGCAAGTGTCCCGGGCTGAGTGCCACCGCCTCAGAGCCTCGAGTCTGGGGAGCGTCACAGCGACGCCCGGCCAGGCTGACCCTCTCAGAAGCGGCATCCAAAAGTGGCTCCTGTGTGTGGCACCCACCACGACAGCCGGGAGGGGTACAGTGGGCCCCCGGCCTCCACTGGCCTCCCCTGTAGGAACCTGCATGTCTCCGAGATCAGATTGGTGGACATAGTCCGCCCACCTCGGTGCCCATATTGGGCGCTTGCAGGAGTCCTTTCCCAGACCTCATTCATCTGTGTCACATGCCGAAGATGCAGGAGGGGTTGTTGGCCCAATTAGGAACCACAGGGTCACCACCACTGGCCCAGGCCTCCCTTCCAGTGGCACAAGTGGGTCTGTTATCGATCAGAAGTTCCAAAGGGACTTTTACTTTTAAGAAGTAACACCCCTTCTCTCCTACATACATGGGCACCATAGGTAGATGGGTGGGTGGGTGGATGGATGAATGGATGGATGGATGTCTTTTCAGTTCTTAGGATTCTTAATTGTAGCGACTCTGCTCCGTTGATGAGGGCAGGCCCCCGCCAGGCTGGCCCTGGCAGCTTCTTGGACCCTGAGAGAGGACAGGCCTCTTCTCTGAGAGGCCTATGCCGTGCTGGGCCGCATGTGCTGACCTGGGATTCAACGAAGGCGGGGCCACCTTCTGCGGCGGAGGGGAGCCCAGCTTCCTATAGAAACATAGTGAACCGAGACGTGTCAGCCCGGGTGGTTAGGGCCTGCATTTGTTGTTTTTGGAGTAAATATGTCTCTCCCCCCCCACCCTTTGTTTCTTTTGCCTTCCAGTTCATATATGATGAAGAAATTGTGTGGTAAGTTTTCAAAGTTTGTTTCTCGTTCGTTTTTGTTAGTGTCCTCACTTATGGGGTTCATTGAATTGTTTACAATTATTTTTTACATACATAAGCTAATGAACTTGTAAAAGTAAAAAGGGCATCATTCTAAGCAATCATGCCATCACTGTCCTTTCAAAGTGACAAAAATTGTTTCAAAGTGACAAAAGTTTTTTTCTTTAATATTTCCACCCTGCCAGATGTCAAGACAATGTTCTAAAGCTAAAAGGATGGAAACTGTGGTATTTCGCCCAGGGATAAGCATAGGCCCAGTCACAGCCTGTTTCCGGGCCGGGGGGGGGGGGGGGGGGGGCGGCGGCGGCAACTGTCTGGACAAGGAAATGAGTTAGGGAGGGGTCTCGGATACGGCTGGGACCACCGGGAATCCACACGGAACAAGATGACGTCAGGTTGCTCCCTCATACCTTATGCAAGAATGAATTCTGAGTGAGTGGAAGACCTCACTATGAAAAGCAAAATTAAGATATCATAGCATAAAGCATAGGGATTCATCTTCGTGACACTGAGGCCGGAAATGATTCCTTAGTATACACGCAACGCAAACTTCAGAGAAAAGGGTGTCATGTTCACATTGTAGAGCGTGCCTGTACTTCAGGTTCGAACAAGCCATAAAAACGTCCTCTGTGTGAGGGAGGACCAGGATCGGCCTCCTGTATGCGGTTGTCGGTGGGAACACACTCAGGGGGCCTGATGGGAGCGGCTGTGTGCTGTGGGCCCAGAGAAACCTGGTTCTGGCCCCAGCCTGGCCCCCACCCCACCGTGCGAGCCGGAGAGTCCCCCCACTTCTGGCCCTGCCTTTCCCCATCTGTACATGGAGTTGGGGGTGGGGGTCAGATCATCTACTAGTCCCTTTGTGTATCTGCTGGTCCCTGGGCTCTTGACAGCTGAGGAAGAGCTCCCAAAATGCCTACATCCGGTGCCAGCACATAGTGGTGTTGATGGGAGAGATCTGGTTCTTCTTGCTGACCATGTGAAGAATTACAGATCAGCAAACCTATTAGCATGCGATCAGTTTATTAGTGACCCGTTCCCATGGAAGAGAACAGGACTGGGTAGAGGGGGAAGGCGGGGCGGGTGGTGAAAGGCAAATTTCAGGGCAAAGCAGGGTGGCAAAGTAAGAGTGGCGGAAGACCAGGGGGACAAGCCCCCGGGTGGCCAGAGGCCCCAAGCCCCTGAGAGAGAGAGAACGAGTCCTTTGTTCCGAGGACTCATATAGGTGGTGGGATGGGAGAAAAAAGTTACATATTGATTAAGGGGTAAATGTGGTGCCAGCTTCCTGGGGGAATGTGACTGCCCAAACTTAGGTATGTGTGGGGGTCTGTTAGCCTAAATCCTTATCTTGCTCCAGACTCTATTTCTTCATCTTCTCGTAAAACAAATATGAGGCAGTTCATTAAAATTGGGGCAGTTACCCAGAGTTATTTATGGGCTCTATCTGTAAGCATCAGGGACTCCCTCGTAAAACAGATAGTGACCAGAGGTGGACAATTAACCAAAGTTGTTTTATGAGCTGCTGCTTTGGGCACCGGGGACCCTCTCCCGCATTCCAGGCTCTGGGATGAAAGCAGTTTCAAGGCCTTCTTTCCCAGACAGTGGAAACGCTACGTATAATTTCAAGGACTTCCCTTCTTTCTTGCTAACACAATGTTTCTTGTGATGTCAGAACACCTGGCAATATTATCAGACCAGGCTTGGGACTACTGAGTTAGCGTGTGAGGCCTGTCTCCTTCCTCCTCCCTGCCTTGGTTTACTATTCATTCTACCCAAGTGGTAAAAGGCGTTTCCTGGCAACCAGGATGCTAGACCTGGCCCGTAACAGCAGTGCGGTCTCAGAGTGCTCCCCGTGCTGTCTCCAGCCTCAGCAGGCCTTTAGAACACATTTGTCAAATGAACGAACAAAGCCATGTGGCTCCTCGGACCTACGAAAGCCCACCACACATGGAGTTGGGCTCCGTGCGTGCCAGACGGCAGTGACCGTGTGTCTCAGAAAGGCCCCCGCCCTGCCCAGCGTGCAGCCAGGAGGCCCTGCGCCCCCTCTTCAGGCTGTTTTTAGGGCCCGTCCCGCCTGTACCCACAGCTTCTCTGCTCGGTGGCCAGAATCTCCTGTGACCCCGGGGCCTCTTAGTATCCAGTCCGTGCGACTCCAGGGCCACTCCACTCCCTGCGTCCTGGGATGTGGTGGCTCTCGCCCCTCCTTTCTCTACCTCCCTGAGGGACTCTGTCTCAGGAGGCGAGTCCCACGACCCCCTGTCATTGAGAAGGACCCCACTCTCAGCCTTCTCTCTGTCACCCAGACAGCCTTAGTTTGCAGGACAGCTCTGGGCTGGGGCAGCTCACCTGCCTGCCTGGGCACTGGGTCCCGGGCCAGACGTCAGGGCCAGGGAAGGTCAAAGGACGCGCCGCCCAGCTTCACCCTCCGTAAAGGCCATTCCTGGGTGCAGCGCGCAGGTCCGCCTCGCTCTAACCATTCTAACCGCTGTCTCCTTTCTCTCTCCGAGGTGGGAGGCCCTGGTGCTCATCATCTTGTACATATTTTACATTCTGATCATGAAGTAAGTGCCCTGTCTCCCTCCTCCTCCTGGGCTGTCCGATGCCTGCATTCGGATGCCGCTCTGGCCTTTGGTTACAGCAGGGAGCAAACCTCCGTCAGGCCTCGGTTGCTTCCAGTGGGGCCCAGTTCTCAGGGACACCCACTGGGGCAGCCAGGGTGGGGCCGAGAGGTTCAGATGCTGTTTTGGGGTGCTGCCCACACCTGGCCAGGGGAGTCAGGGCTAGTGGGTGGAGTAGCAAGCAAGGTCCTCCCTCTCACCCACTTTGTGCTACTCCATGCCCCAGGCTGACTGCTCTGTTCTGCTGTCTGAACCTCTGGATGATTTTCTCCCAGGAGCCAGGCAGCTTCACCTCTGCTCCACGCTCCATAAACTGCCGGCTCTCGGGGCCGCTCCCCTGTGCAACAGCAGGGGGCGCCACTCACAGCGTTAAAGATGCAGACACAGGGGCCAGGGCTGTGAGCTCTTGCAGCCTCTGGGAGCTGGCCGGGTCAGAATCATCTCAAAGCTACCCCCTGAGGAAGATTCCTCAGCCATTAAAAAGGAAGGAAATCTGTCCCTAGCTATAGCAGGAATGAACCTTGCAAATTTTATGCTGAGTGGAAGGAGCTAGTCACAGAAGGAAAAATATTGTCTGATCCCATTTAGTGAGGTTCCTGGGAGAGTTGGATTCACAGAGACAGAAAGCAAATTAGTGATTACCACGTGCTTGGAGCGTGGAGCAGTGAAGAAGTGACTGGTCCGTGGGTGCAGGGTTCTGTTTGGGATCCTGGGAGCATTTTGGAAATAGATTGTGGAGGCGGTTTGCCCGTCGTAAATGTAACTAATGGCACTGAATGGTGCGCCTCAGAATGGAAAATAATTAAGGTGGCAGATTTTATGTTGTGTATGTATATCCCTGTTAAAAAGAGGAAAAAAAAGGAAAAGGAAGCATTCCCCCTGAGGTGGGCCAAGTTCAGGTTTTATCTCCCTATTTACACCCGCGCAGGTGATTAAAGACAAAAGCAACACTGAGCTTTAGGGGGCCATGAATCGTAATGTTTTATAAAAATGGGCGATAAGCTGCCACACCGCAGGAGAACTGTCCCTCACAGATGTGTTCCTGGGTGCCTTTCAGTGAGGTGGGCAGCCGGGGGTCCGAGAAGGAGAGGGGCTTCTCTGTGGGGTGGGGTGCCGGCTGGCAGGCACGCAGGGGTGACCCAAAGACTCAGCAGCGTGAGAGGAGACAAGTCCAGTAACACCCGCTTTGAGCCTGTCCCCAAGGCTGAGTGGAACTCCCCTTATCAGGACAGGCTGGGGACCAGCAGCAGGAGGCCCCAGTCATTTTCTTGGGCCAGAGGTGTTTTATGCCCCCAGGAATCCCACGCAGGTCTCGGGAGGTGCAGGCCCGGCAGCCTGCATGTGGTTCCACAGCTCCTGCAGAGAGAGCCCGTCAAGCAGCTGAGGAGCTTGGCCCCCCACCCCCCCCACCCCCGCATGTGTGAGGGGTGTGAGCAGAGGGGGAGGCCCCTGCCTGGTCTCTCCCGCAGCTCTGACCCCGCCCCTGCCTTCACTTTCAGGTACAATGTGAAGATGCAGGCCTTTTTCACAATCAAACAAAAGACCGTTGCAAATGGCAACACGGTCAACAGTGAGCTGGAGGACGGTAATGATTACTGTGATAGTAGCTCTGACGACCCCTCCGTGCCGTTGCTGGGGCGAGGTAAGGCTGAGCAGACAGGAGTGGCCGGACCGTGTTCCCAAAACCACTGTCCCCTTCTCGTTCCTGCACGCACACACACATGCGCACACTGTCTAAATTGTCACTCTTTCCTTTGGTCACAGGACCCTAGATGAGGAAGGACTCAGAGTGGGAGGTGTTTGTGTAGATGAAGAAATTGCCAACAGCCACGTCCCTGGGGATTTCCCTGAGCTGCATTGGCAGAGACTCAGGCCTGCGTGGCTTTTCTGAGAGGCAGCAAATTACAAGTCTGTCCCTTGTAGAAGGCCAGTGACAGGAAGCTGAGGGCTGGGGGTAACAGAGCAGGCCGGGGTGCCCCTGTGGTTTCTCAAGTGCCAGGCTCAGTTTGGAGGCCTCTGTTCCAGAGAGACCTCTGGCTCACTGCCCAGAGGAAGAGCGAGGCCAGGACAGGCGGGCACAGACTGCGCAGGAATCCCCAGAGCCGCCCAGGAGTCTGGCCCTGGGCTGCAGCCTGACCTCTGCAGCTTCTCTGTGGCCCCTGTGTGGGGGCCCTGGGCCCCTGGAGCCAGCGCCCGGCCCCTCTGTCAGGTTCTCCTGACCATCTAGGCCTGACCACTTGCTGCTTTAAAAACCTTGTCTCGGTCTAGCCGGATACCAGGTGATCCCCTCTGTGGGGTGGCTGCCAGGAAGGAGGGAGAATCTGTTCTCTCCTCACCTGAGCCCAGAGGGAAGGCCTGAACAGGTTCCTCTAATTCAGACAGGAAGAATCCTGGGTTCCACCCATGGTGTCGGTGAAGTTGAGAGGTGGGCGCCGGCCGCCTGGGGGGTCTTTTCTACCCTGTGCTCCCGACGACCCTGAGCAAGCCGGTCCCTGTTTCAGGCTAACATCAGTGGTGGGACCAGGCGGGCTCAGCAGAGCCTGTTTGCCTGTGTCTGGGAGGTGGGGCCAGAATCTATACTCCTTGGCCCCCTCCCAGTCTTCCCTGGGCAGGGGGGTCCAGCTAGGCACTGCCTCCTGTGTGCACCACGGGGAAATGCATGCTGTCCCGTCTCAGCGGTGAGTGAATAAGAAGCCTGCTGGGCTGCGGGTCCCAGGGTGGTCAAGGCCACAGCCTGGCTGCCAGAGTCTCAGCTTTGGGCACAGAGCAAGGTGGCTGCGGGGCCGGGCCGGGCCCCAGTCCTGCCCTTCCCCAGGGGAGCCGTTTCTAGGACAGCCGCCTCAGAAGGGCAGGGAAGGCGTGGCTGCTATTTCGGATTTTAGCCACACAGACAATGACCCCGAGGTCCCCACACAGCCTCTCGGGACAGGCTGGTTTCTGTCCTGGACATAGTGTTCCTGGGGCCCCAGGAACCTCGATGGCAGAGGACAGAGTCCCAAGTGGTGAGTCTGCTCAGGCCGGCAGAAAATGCCCACTACCTTGGGTGCCGGCCCTGAGAGCTTTGTACTGCCTGAGTGTCTGATGGAGGAGGCCCATCCCCAGGCCCTGGATTTTTTTTTAATTTGTACACATTTTTCACATCATACCTTAATTCTTCTCGGGAAAGCAGAGCACAATAGAGCAAGGTCCCCAGGATGGAGGCAGGGAGGCGCCCCCATGTCCCGCCGCTGCAGGGAGTCCAGCCTCTTATCGCTGGTTTCAGGTGGATTTTCATGTAGCCTGGCAGCCAGGGCCGCCTGACCACTGGCTGGGTTACTGTGGGACCTTCCCATCCTGCCCCGGCCCCAGCTTTGGCTTGCAGCAGGAAATAAGGTGGCAATGCCTGCCTCAAGCTAAACTGCCGGGAGCCACTCTGTAATTGAGTTCCCTTCTGAGCAGCCACCCTTATCTCGGAACGCCACCCTGCACTGACACTTGGCGGGCGGCACCAGGACAGGGTGCCCAGGGTGCCAGGTATCCTGTGTCTTGCCTTGACACTCTGCAGGCTCCCTCACTCTGAGCCCGGCTGTCCGCAGGCAGCTGTCCTACTGGTTTCCACCTCCCCCTGAGACAGGCTGGGGGTCCAGAGTAGGGAGGGATCCAGGCTTTCCTGCAGTGTGGAGGGGCGGTGGGCACAGGGGCCCCTGCTCCTCAGAGTGGGACCGAGCCAGGGAAGTCAGCCAGGAGAGGGGCCGTCCTGAAGGCCAGAGGCCCCAAGCACTGAAGGCCCTGTGGCAGCAGCCCCTCGACTAACACCCCCTTCAAATAACCCCGCGGCATCTCGGCCACCGCCAGGAGCGCTGCCCCAGACTCTCAGCATCCACCGCACACTAATCATCTCTGGCGACCTCTCTTGGCCTTTGTCTCCTTAACTCTTCTCCTCTTCTAAATTGTAAGTAATCTGCTTTCATCCAAGCGATAACACATGCATTGGGGAAAAAAAATAAAACACCACGAGCCCAGCACACGCCTCGCCGGAGGTTCGTGTCCATCTCCGACAAATGCATGGTCCTCCTGGCTCTGTTTCTAACCCGCCCGCCTCCTGTCTGCTGAGCCTTGCTGCCTGTTGGGTAAGGGTGCGCGTCTGGTGTGCATTTGTTCATGTCCGTGCCATTAACTCTTACGGGGGTTCGCCCTGGCTACTCCTGGTTACCCTGTTACCCGGGAAGGACACACACTGGGAGCTGGAGGCCAGTGCAGAGGGATGGGCATATCTGCTTTGGCAGCCCCTTGGAGGGTGTTCCACCTGCTTCTGTGTGCCGTGTTCACGACTGGTTCTGTCACTGGGGCCCTCTGGGACTCTGGGTTAGAGGTCAGATCCTCCAGGACTCCTGCCCTGAGCGTGTTCGGGAGGGTAGTGGGGAAGAGGGCTGGGGCCTCGGGGGGTTTGTTCCTCAGCCTCCGGAGGAGACGTATAGGGTCAGAGGCAGCGGCCTCCCTGCTGGCAGGTGCCAGGCTTACCAGAGACACTGGGCTCGGCCAGCAGCTCCCCGTGCAGACTCAGCAAGCGGGCTGCCCTCCCGGGCTCAGCCGCCTCGTCCAGGGCCCATGAACCCAGCCTTCGTTCTCACTGCCTGTGTCACGAAGGGTAAAGCTAGAAGGAGCCTTCTGTGCTGGGTGTAGATGGTCCCTTCAGACAGAGCAGGTGGTTTCTTGTGCTTTTCGGCATGTTCCACTCCAGGGGACCCTTGGAGCCTCTGTAATCAGGAGAAAGCAAGGTCCCTTCACAGTCACGGGTGGGCTGCCCAGTGAGGCTCAGAGGAGGAACTAAAAGATCCTTGCAGTTAGCCAAGACTGGGCCCCAGAAGAGAGGGGCTGCTGACTGGCAGCAGGGTTGCATGTCGAGGGACTGCCCCTGAGTGGGCCTGTAATGGGGGGGGGGGGCCATGGGGCTGTGTCTCATTCTTCAAGTCGGCAGGTGGTTCACAGCCAATGGCCTCTTGACTAGTGGGAGGAGATGAAGCCAACCTCCCAGGTGTCCCCCAGCTGCCGAGACCTCAGCCGGAGAAGTCTGCAGCAGAGTGGCAGGCAGTCAGCTGCCCCAGCACTTAGGTGGCGCCCCCAGGGGGACGTCGGCATTAATCATGGCGTTGTGCTCCATACAGTGAAGGAGGAGCCCCAGTACGGCAAAAACCCGGTGGTGATGGTGGACGAGGTCATGAGCTCCAGCCCTCCCAAGTTCAGCTTCCCGGAGGCGGGCTTACGCATAATGATCACCAACAAGTTCGGGCCCAGGACCCGACTGCGGATGGCCAGCAGGATCATAATCAATGAGGTAGGTCTGCTTAAAGGACCAGGAGAACGTGTGGCCTCAGAGGGACTTGGGTACTTTGAGGAGGCCCTGGCTTGTCGGACGCTTCCTGGGGCTGGACCACCAGAGCGAGCTCTGCCAGGCTGGCCTTGGGCACCGCTCTCCCATTAGGAGGGAAGCCCGAATAGCATCGCAAACAGCAAATGATCCAATGGGGGGCGATTTTAAGGCAGGCAGCATCGGACACGATGCCAAGATGTTTCACTGAGTGTTTTGTCAGGCACTAGAGTAAAACTAATTGGAGAAAGGCCAGTCTTTAAAATGTTATCTAGGGAATGAGGGGGAGGGGGAGGATGAGCACACACCTGTTCTCTATGGATAGAACGACTGGGGGGGGTGGGAAGCCGAGACATAGGTCATGGCTGGGGGCTTCTTTTCACTCGGCACCCTCGTGGTCTTGCTTGGATTTTGCCCCTCATCTCTCTCTCGTTTGAAACAAGTTCTAAGTGTGATATTTATTGTACAAACAATGTAGCAAAGCTCACAGCTTATTGCTTACCAACTGTTCCCATCTTGCTGCATATTGGAGTTTTAGGTCTCTATCCTCAGACCCAGGTAGTTACCAGAGAACTCGAAACTCAGGGAATAATCCGTAGTCAGCATGTCAGTTACATGCAAAGGTGGAGTGCACGGTGCTCCGGTTTCTGTATTTTGAAGTTTTACTTTGATTTCTTATGCAATGTGCCCTCTCTGTGGAAGGTGTATGAAGAAAGCTTTCAATCATCCTGAATCATTTCATTTGGTGCAAATCAGTCAAATTTCAGGCAGTGAAATCTTGCTGAATTCCAGCCACTTTTTATGAGCATGATAATTGTACCCACTGGTGTTGGGGGTGGAAGGGAGGTTTGAGCAACTCCTAAGACTCTGGGGGTCTGGGTTTATAGTGTATTTTCATGGCACACACAACCAGGGAGGTGAAATGATGGGGTTTCGATGAGCCAGTGACACGCTGGCTGCCAGGCCGCCAAATGTTTTAAGCTGCTGGGAAAACCTCATTTTCCACCGTGCTGGGACTGGGGAGGAAATCCTGAGTTTTCATCTCACGTTAGACATTAACTCAGTCTCCCTGGGTCTCAGTTTCTCTGTGTGCCGGTGTTGGGAGGGACGCTTCCAACTCAGTTTCTTGGCACAACAGAAAGGGGGAGCCCGGAGGCTGAGCGGTGTCTTTGGGGAAACTCATCCTGGAAGGGGAAGGGGGGAGTGTGAAGCCCCCCAGATGTCTAGTTTCAAGGTGGTTTCTTCAGACCCTTGGGTCTCATTTCCTCTTCAGCCCTTTAATTCCCCAATGTTACAGAAAAGTTTGCAAAGCTACAACGAATCCACAGTAGACATGCCAGTGGGGCGATGCCCGCATTTGTTCATCATCAAAGAGAAATTGCATGGGGCGGGTGCTTGGCCACGGGGCTGGGAGAGGCGTGGAAGGGGCTCTGTTTCTCCCTCCCTCCAGGGTTGCACCTACCAGACTTGACTGTCCTCACCCCCAGCCACAGTGATCAGTTGTCCAGGCGACAGCAGTTCTCTCCCTCCTTGGGAACGATCTCACCCGCTCACCCACCTGCTCCTCCCCACACTGCTCTTCGGCTCACAGCTGGATGCCAGTCATTTTGAGCTGGCAGAAGTAGCTGTCGTTTTCTGAGCACCTACTGTGTGCTGGGCAGGTCCTGGATGTTTTACCTGTGTTATGGCATGAGTCCTCTTAATGACTTTCTGGGGGAGAGGAAGGTATTTCCTACTGATCTATGAGAGAGTTGAAATAAGTGGGCAGAATAGGAATTTGGACCTAAATCTGAGCCTAGACAGACTCCTGGGGGGCAGTCCACCTCACCTCCCCTGCGCTCCTCCTTCTGTATCTCTACTCCCTCTGTGATAGCCAGCCCCTGCCCGAGTCGGATGTTACTGCCTCTACCACGTGGCAGCCTCCTCTGAACATTAGGCAGCAATCGCCACCCCTGATCTTCTCCTTGAATCTAGACATTCTTGGAACCCCCCACCTTCCTGGCACGACAGGGTTCCAGAATTCCCTATCTAGTCACTCTCCCGTGGGAACTTTCCGGGTTGTCTCTCTCTTCATGTGGACCCGGCACCTCCCTTGCGTTGTAATCTATGCCTCTCCTAATACAGCCTCATATAGCTTTAGACATTTTTTCAGATACAGTTTTCTCTTTATTCCTATTAAGTTAGAGTTATGACCCACCCCCGCCACCCCCCCCCACTACCATCCATGGTGCTATTAAGTCATGCCCCCAACATTGCAATTCAGTCTTTGCACAGCTGGGGTTTTTTTCTTTTTCTTTTTCTGCAAGGATGACCTGTTTATTTAACCCTACTCAGGGAGCAAAGTATCGTGCCTCCATGTCAAAGTCTAAGGGGTAAATCACTTTGCTCTTCTTGGTGGGGTAAGTATAGGGAAAATATTTTGGATTTCCATCCTAGACTTCACGGTTTAGGAGTCCCCACATAAGACTTACACAAAGACAGTGTAGTGGTCAGCTCCTGTTTCTTTTAAAGGAATAACATGCTTCCAATTTAAGAATAATTACCCTTTTCTTACTTCTACTAAACACAAGGCTAGGTGTTGGGCACACCGTTACAGAGTGTCGCCTTGGACACGGTCACTGACTCTTGGTTTCCTGCTGAAGTCCTTGGGAGGGATGTATGTCCGTTGTGTGATGATCAATACTCACGGAGCCTAAGGCTGTTCTGTGAATACCTTGTATGAGAGCCAGGTAAGGTGAGCTGATTCTTGGGAAAGTAGAAACCTGTTGATTTCTTCAAATATGGCCTCTGCCGTTCCCTGGATTAGTAGAATTCCACAGACTTGGTGAGGAAGATTAACTCCTGCTTGGGTGGGAAGGGCCAGCCTTTGTCAGTAGCTAGTATGAGCTGGTGGACAGAAGGGGCAGGTTGGTTGAGAGCACATGCATTGGACATGGCAGAAGACCTGGACAGCAGAGGCTATCCACATGGCCAGTAACCCAATAAGATGCTTGACATCACTGGTTGTCAGGGAAATACAAATTCAAACCATGATCAGATACTACCACATGCCCACCAGAATGGCTAAAATTTAAATGACTGACAATATCAATTGTTGACAGGATGGGAAGCAACTGAAATTCTAACCTTTACTGGTACAAGAGTAAAATGGTTCAACATGCACCTACCTTATGACCTACCAATTCCACTTTTAAATAAAGAGAAATGAGTGCTCTGTTCACTTAAAGGCACATACACAAATGTTCATAGCAGCATTCTTCTTAATAACCAAAATAGGGAAACACCCCAAATGCCCATCAGCAGGCAAACAATACACTGCAGGTTATTTCTACAGGGGAATACTATACAGCCATGAAAAGCAACAGACTGCTGAATTATGCAACAACATGGATGGCTCTTACGGACATTGAAAGAAGCCAGACCTAAAGTAGTACATGCAATCTGAATGCATTTATATGAAGGTCACGTTCAGGAAAAAGTAATTTATGTTTCTAAAAGTCAGAGTAGTGTTTACTTTGGTCAGTTTTGGAGAGAGGGAACACATAGACTAAGAAAGTGCCTGAGGGAGTCTTATGAGGGGCTGGAAATGTTGATCATCTTGGTATAAAACATCACTGAGCTATACACTTAATGTAAGTACACTTTTGCATTGCATACTTAAATAATTTTTAATTTAAAAGTCCATCCAAGGTCTCTCCTGTGACTATTTTCAGGGGGCTTGTGAATGTCCACTGGGAGAGCCAGAATAATCACTGTCATCCAGTGTCACGGGCTGGGTTGTCAGGTTGGCACTAAGAAGAGGAGGCCAGGCCTCCGACCATCCCCCAAGGGCTTGCTCGTATCAGCCCAAAAGGAGCTGAGCAAACTTAGATGAATTGCACGGTCCTTGGGTCATTTACAGGCAGACCGATCTCTGAGCGCGTGTTCTAGAAACCTCCGAGGGCTGTGTGTGTGTTAAGGGACAGTATAATACTGTCACACATCCGTCTGTTTGCCTTGCCCCCCGTCCACACAGAGGCAGAGGCTGATCAACTCAGCGAACGGTGTGGGCAGGAAGCCGCTGCAAAACGGGAGGCACGAAAACATCAAAAACGGGAACGTCCCCGTGGAGAACCCAGACGACCCTCAGCGGGAGCAGGAACAGCAGCCCCCGCCCCCGCCGCCGCCCCCAGAGCCAGAGCCCGTCGAGACCGCCTTCCTGTCCCCCTTCTCCATGCCCGGTGAGTTCTGGGGGTGCAGGGCCCTCAGGCTGTGCTGGCCCAGGGGCTCTTCCCCACGCCCAGGACCAGGTTCCAAGACCAAAACCAGGAGCCTGGTGTGGGGCCTGGGAGTCAGCATTTTCAAACCTTCTCCGGGTGTTCCCGGGACCCCGCCAGGTTAGGAATGCTGCTCCTGTCAGCAGCACCTGCAGCTTCTTTCACGGGGAGGGGAGCCCCAGAAAACGACATCTGTCTTCTCACCGAGGTTACAGAGGGGCCCCGCACAGGGGTTCAGGGCCCTCAAGAGCCCCTCCCTGCTGACCAGAAGGCTGGGGGGATCTGAGTCTCGGCCACCAGATGCCAGGGAGGTCCCTGTGTGCCACGGCATGGTCCAGGAACCGGCCGAGCTCGCCCGGGGTGGGCCCCAAGAGGAGCTGCCATTCCGTGGGTTCTGCAGGAGGTGGGCGGCAGAGCCTCCCCCTCATTTTACAGTGGCGAAGCCTGATGGGGCCGCAGCCACCACCATCCACTCACTAGCCGCCTCATCTGAATCCTGGTCCTGAGGCTGCTCGCAGTCTAGGGCTCTACGGGGAACCTGCGAAGGGATGTGCCCTTGGCAGCTGTTGTTCTGTAAAGTAAGGTGGGCACGTGTGAGGATCACTCATGTCCATTTCCTTGGAGTTGGCTTTGGTGGGATTGGGGGATGTGGACGCCAGGGCCATCCTCTCCCTCCCCTTGCCCTGGGATCTGGCCTCCTCAGAGGAGCAGGAACCAGATCTAGCTCCCTGGGGCGACCTGCCTGTCAGAATGCTGGGGGCTTGCACGGACCAGATAGCCCCGGGGTCTTCATGCCCTAGAGTCCCTGTGCGGGGGAACTCTGCCCTTCCTGATGGCCAGGACTTCCTGTTGCAGCTGTCCCACCGCCCTCCTCAAGCCAGAGCCTGCAGGGCATTCCCCCAGCTCAGAGCCAGGAGCTGGCCCCTGTTTGTCCCTGCGGAAAACTCCCTTTGTGTCCCTGCGGATGTGTTTCCAGGTGTTGCCCTGGAAACCACAAGTCACTTCCTCTTCCCCTTCCCTCAGGGACTCGAGAAGCAGGGATGGGAAGGGACAGAGTGGAGTGCCTGCTGCTTTCAGGTGCACTTTCGTTTCATCTTTGCCGCTGCCTTGCGAGGTGGCCGCTCTCATTTATCTGTGTTTTACAGAGGGAAGCTGAGGCTCCGGAGGCCGTGAGACTTCCCGAGTCACACAGGCATCACGCGGGCAGCCTCTCTTCCACCCCGAGCTTCCGAGCTGTGAATGCCGTCACGAACTGGTCCAGTCAGAGTCCCGGACCACAAGCCTCTGGGAAGTCACAGGGCAAATGACCCTAGTGGTCACATAGGGGACAAATGGCCTTAGCTATACATGTGTGCTCTGGCCCTACAGTACAGTTCAGCCCACCTCACTGGAGGACCTGGGGTAAATGTGTGTTTTACTGAAGTTCAGGCCCCTGGAGGTTCTTGAACAGTAACAGGAGGTAAAACTTACTGTGAATTTACTATGGACCAGGCAGGGTGCTTTGCAGGTAAATATTGACTCACTGAGTTCTCCCGATGCCCTAGAAGGTGGGTACTATTATTATTTCCCCATTTCCCAGCTGAAGAAACTCAGGCACAGGGAGGCTTGGTTGCCCAGGGTCACACAGGAGGAAGGGGCAGCGCTGGGGTTTGTGCGCTGACATTCTGACCCCAGACATGCCTACGGGGCAACACTGTCCCCCACCAACCGATGCCTCCGGCTCCTTCCCTCTGAAGCCCACGAGGAAGTGCTTGTCTGTGTGGTGGCTTGGGCGCAGATGTCTGTCTGCATTGGGTAAGCCGTGTTGGACTGAGTCCAATTATGGGTCCTTGGAACCTAACGTGCTCTTGTCAGGCCTTGGGTGGCACCCCTAAATCTTGTCTTCCTTTACTGTGATAAAGCTCAGCTCAGGCGGCCTGCGGATTTCAGAGCTTTTAGGGCTTATTCTCCTTACCCCCCCTCATCTTCCTCAGCTGCCCAAAGCATCTGCCTGGGACAAGAAAGGTCAGTTCCGTGTCTCTAAACCCAGTGAGGTGGTACTGCACGAATGGAACTCTGGAAAACTCCACACGCCTGGTCTTTCCTCTTAGCCCCTCAGCAGTGGGGGTGGGGAGGGGCCCGAGACTGGAGAAACTGCAGGTGCTGTGGACTCACGTGTGTACGACATTCCAGACCCGGCGCCAGGCCCCCAGAGACACACAGCCTTCGTGGTGGAAATGACCTTGCTCTTGCCCCCATCTCAGGGGCCATCAGAGAAACCGCGCATTTGGTGGACTGTCTCATAAGCCAAGGGCAGGATTTCAAGGACCTGCCCTTGTGAATCGGTCCCAGTAGCGCTCAGAAGTGTTACTTCACAGTCCAGTGAGAAGAAACATTGGCTGAGGGGTTTTATTGTTTAATGTGACAGCTTTATTGAGACACAGTTCACTGACCATGAAGTCGCACCTTTAAGGTGTGCAATTGAGGGGCGTTCACAAAGCGGGGTGTTCGCAGAGTTGTGTAGCCATCAGTATAAATCAATTTTAGAAAATTTCCCCCACCCCCAGAGGAATCCCTCTAACCCATGAGCCGTTACTCCCAACCCCCAACCCCTTCTCCTGGCAGCCTCGACTTGACTGCCTGCCTCTTTGGATTTGTCTATTCTGGGCATTTCGTATACGTGGGATCAGCCGGCCAACAGCCTTTTGTGATTGGCGGCTGCTGCTGCTTAGCACAGTGTTTGCAAGGTTCACCCATGTTGTAGCGTGTGTCAGTGCCTCACTCTTTGGTGTAGCTGAATAATTATTCATTGGTTGATGGAAATTTGGATTATTTCCACTTTCTGGATACGAGCAGTTTATTAAAACAGCTAATGAGGCATGGTGGAGAAAAGTTCAATTTTTTGAAAAATAATCTAAATGAAAGCCATTTTCCTCTGAGTTCTTTGTGGTTGTCAATAAATAGTCTCTAAAGATGAGGATTAAAAGGGATCTCGGAAATTTTTTAAAAATTGATTTTAGAGGAAGGGGAAGAAAGAGAGAAACATTGATTTGTTGTTCTACTTAATTATGCATTCATTAGTTGCTTCTTGTATGTGCTGTGACCAGGGATTGAACCCACGACCCTGGCATATTGGGATGATGCTCTGACCAACTGAGCTCCCTGGCCAGGGCGGATCTTGGATATTTTTAGACCAGGCTTCCTATATTCCAGAGTGGGAAACTGAGGCCCAAAGGGGGGCAGGGACTTGCCCAAGGGACAGTCTCAACTAGACAGAACCAGACATCTGGGCCACCTGCCCTGGAGTCCACTCCGTGATGTTCCTGCAGCCAGGCCGGCTCAGTGCAGCAACCACAGAGGTAGGAGAGGATGGGGCCCAGAACCCACCACGCACTGGGTGTGAGCTGGGTCCTGAAGCCCCTTCACCTGCCCCCAGCAGAAGCCCACGCAGCTCCCTTGAGCTGAAGGGGAACATTTGTAAAAATAAGGATGGGGGTGCGTCAGGGATCCCAGGACAGCTGGCCTCCCCCGGGGCTCACTCGGAGCCTCAGTGGGTGTCCAGACTCTTCCTGACCCTTCATTTCTCCACACGGGCCTGTCTCGCCCCGTCCCTTGGCTGCAGGCTGGCTTTCTCAAATTCACGAGTCGGTCCACACGGCAGACTGTGGCCTCCCCTAACCCCAGACTGACGCGCGACAGTGCCAGCCCCGCTCACTCAGCTCCCCAGTGCTGCACCTGAACTCTAGAGTCTCGAGAGAGAAAATATCGTCAACCCTGGTCACTCAGCTGTGCTGGCCAAGGTGGCTTCAGTGGCCCCTAGGGGTGTGGTTCTGAGGGAAGAGGGACTGAACACACACATGCCTGTACCCCGTGTAGGCAGACAAGTGCCTCCAGCATTACTAGAAGATGAAGGTTGTAGCCCATCTCAGAGGCGGTGAAGTTGGAAATACAGAGGCCCAGGTGGGAAAGGCACCTTAATCCAGGTACTGGCAGTGACTCCAGAGCCCGCCCACTGATCTGGTTGACCCTGCCACCACGCCAGAGCCAAGGAGGTGGGGGCCAGAGTGCATCGGAACTGTTGTTGAGTTTGAGAACTCAGCACCAGAGCTGCGGGGCGGCAAGCAGGAGGCCGCTGCCCCAGCCGTGTCTTGACTCCCAAAGCCATGTGAACTGAACACTGGGATGCTGGTCCAGCCTCCAGCACTGGCTCCGATGCCCCTCATCTAGTGCCTGGGCACGAGCGCCCTGCTTTTGACAAGGATGCATCGAAAACAGCAAAAAGGTGCTTGGCCCTACCTCCATTCTCCAGATCAGGGAACCTGTTGTGCGTCCTGGCCTTCAGCCACAAAGGATTCTGAGAGAAGCTTCCACAGACACTGGCAGGAGGCTGGACTAGGGCTGCTGAAGGCCAGCTCAGCATGTCCACTTTCATACCGTGGTCCCGCTTGGGGAAAAGCAGTAGAACCAGTTTTAAGGGGGACTTGACTTAGAGCAGACCCGGTAAGGGACACATATGGTGTTCAGACTCATAGTGACGACGCAGAGGAGGGTCAGGGCCCCAACCTGTAGCTCGACAGACACATCCTTCACAGGGACCTGCCCCAGCCCCCAGTGTGGCGCTTAGCCCCTAACATTCAGTACTTAGAGTCTGCACACACAGCCCCACTGGCCGGCTGGTGTGGTCCCCATTTCTGGGGGGAGGAAATGGGGGCTCAGGAAGCCATACACAGGTGAGAGATGCCACGGCAGGCCTGGCACCCAGGTCTGCCCAACTCCAAGGTGCTCTCTGCCTGGTTGCACTGTTGACTCTGGCAAGAGGGCCCTCTGCTGAGTTGGAATGTCCACTCTAGGATTCTGGGGGCGGCAGAAAGGAAAGCGGGGAGGAAGGAGGCCCCCTGCTGGGTCTGTGTGGTTTGCACACACGGGAAACCCAACAGCTCCACCCCACCACTGCCTGTTTGCTGAGCGTTTAACACACAGAGCCT